CCCGTGTCCTTCGGGCTGGGACCCGCACGCCGGCTTGCCGCGCTGCCTGAAGTCTCGGGCAACTCCGCGGGCGGGAACTTCGCCGGGTCTGCCGCTGCCAGAGGCAGGAGACCGCGCTGTCTCGGCCCCGCCGGCGACGCCCGGCTTTCTCGGGGCCTCCGGAAGGGAGCGGTCTCAGGGTCCCCGGGCCCGCCACCGAGAGCCCTGCGGAGGCGCCCCCAGCCCGGGAGCGCCCAGGGGCCCCAGCAGCGCAGCCACTCGCTTACCTGACGACGCGGGCGACCCGAGCAGAGCCGGCGACCTGAGCGTGCGGGCGGAGCAGGGAGCTAGGGCTGCGGCGGCCTGGAGCTCGGGCGGGGGCGGGCCGGTGACTAAGTGCCACCCCTCCCACCTGCGGCCGCCACCTGTGGTCACGTGCCGCCAGGGGGCGGGGCCGGAAGGGGAGTCACACCCACTGAGGCCTGCAAACTGTAGGTCCTCATCCCCTCAAAAAATTCAGGGCCCGAATCCAAGAGCTCGTGCACACTGAAGCCCAGAGAGGGACAGTGTCCTCCCTCAGGTCACACAGCAGGCACCGTCTAAACCCTCAGTGACCCTGGTCAAACTCTGGCTGTGTCCAGTCCAGCCGTGGAACAGAAAGTAGGGCAGCTTCATAGACGCTCAAGGGTCCAGCCATGGAAGTAGATTTAGGTTCCTGGGCTGGGAGCCGCAAGGCGGGGGTTAGGCTCGGACTGATACCCGACACTTCCCACAGAGCCCCAGGTGGGCAGAGCAGGACTGCTGTGAGGGGGTCCCAGCACTGGGCCTGCAGGATGAGCAGCGCCCCACCTGAACCCCAGGGAAAGGAGGGACAGAGAGGGCTGCGGAAGCCTGAGGTCAGGCCCAGCTCTCAGCTCCGCGTCCCTGGGGCTTGGGACCCGGTTATGCGGGGGGCGTGGGGACCACATCTAAAGGCAGGCCGTCCGGGCGGGACAGTAAAGCCCATTAAACCTGGCCAACAACAGCCTCTGCCGTGCTCTGGCCAGTGAACCAGGCGCCCCGTCGCCTGCACCAGCCCCCACCACTGGCTGGAGTTTGGATGGAATTGGCTTGGGGCCCTGAGGACTCCATCCGATGCTGGCCGAGGGCTGCTTGATCACAACTCTAGCCCTCGCGGGCTGCCCGCTCTCCACCCTCCGTCTGGCTTCTGTGTTGGAGTCCACTGCCTTGAGCGACCACCTCGCCTGTGCCCAGCACCTTTGGGTCCCCATTACTGACCCCTCAAGCCTCAGGTCCTGCACCCTTCATTTTAGCCCCACCCTGCCTTCAAACTTCAAAGGCTTTAAACCCTCTGAAGGTCCATGCATTCACACCTGCATCTCCCGAGGACCGGAGAGGGGCAGTCCCAGTGGGTCAGCCCTGCACTGCAATTCCTGGAGTCCCATTTACAGTCGCCTGCTTCTGTGCAAGCCCGGGAAACCCTCACTGGTCCTCGGTTTCCCCTTTTGCTCTCCCCAGTGGGCAGAGGCCTGGGGTTTATGAAGGGAGGCCTGGCACTTGCGTTGACAGGCCTCGGGCTCTTTGGACTGTTTGGGTGCACTTAGCTGCCTGTGCCAGCGGTTCACTGAAAGTTGTGAAAAAATGAACAGGGAGGGCACACACAGCTTTCCCAGTTCCTCTGTGACAGCATCTTGCATAGCTCTACTACCTTAGCCAGAAATGAGCCACAGGGCTCACTCAGATTCCATCCAAACGACAGCACTGTGTATGCATGCACATGTCCGTGGGTGCACAGCCTTGCCACATGTGTCAGTTTGCATATACACTGTCACAGTCACAGGGCACTGCCCCCCCCAAGCCCTCCCTTGCAAGAGCCATGCCCACACCTCACCATCTTTAACTCCTGGCAATCTGTCTACTCTTTCTGCCATTTCCTTATTTCAAGAACATTACATAAATGGGAAGCACAGTATGTAACCTTTGGGGGTTGACTTTCTCCCCATTCAGTATGATTCTCTGGCAAATCAGACAGTTGTGTGTGCTGGTACAGAAGGTTCCTGATTTAGGATAGGGACATGTCATTTAAACACAGCCCAGCAGAGAGTCAGTTGTTTCCCCTTGTGATCTCAGGGCTGGCTGGAGCTGTGGCTTGCTGCCACTGCCACCATCACCAGGAAAGATCGTTGCAAACATTGGTGCCTGGGAAGAGAGCCACTGTGATTATTTGGAATAAGGTTTCTACAGAATGCCTATCATTTTCACACCATCATAATACCAAAGATCTTAAGTTCCAACTACAGGTTAGAGACCATCTAGTTCATCCTCTCTCATTGCTAACAGTTGTTCTACAGTGTGGATATGCCACAGTTTGTTCAGCCATGGCTGAAGGGCAGGTGGGTTCTCTCCACCCCCACATTGGGAATTGAACCTAGGGTCTTTACACCAAGCTATATTCTCAGCCCCCTCCCCTTGTTTTTTCAACTTTGAGACAGGAGCTTGCTAAGTCACTAAATTGCCCAAGTTAGACTTGAAATTGTAACCCTTCTGTCTTAGTCTTCCAGAGTGCTGGGATTAGAAACATGTGCCACCATGCCTAAGTTGTTTCCAATTTTTTGTTTTGTATTGCTTTGTTTTGTTTTGTTTCATCTGACACAGGCTCTTATTACATAGTTCAGGCTGGCCTGGAACTCACAGCAATCCTCCTGCCTCAGCCTCCTGATTGCTGGGATTATAGGTGTGCATCACTATGCCTAGCTTGGTTCCAGTTTTTGACTATTATAGATAAAACTGCTATGGACATTCATTCATATTCATCTTCATTTCTGGAAGATAAATGCCCCAGAGTACAATTAATTCCTGGGTCCTGTGGTAATCACATGTTCATTAACAAATTATTGGACTTTTTTCCCCAGAGTGGCTGCACCATCTTACATTCCTATCACAATGTGTGGGTGATTCCATTTCTCCATATCCTTGCCAACTTGTGGCATTACCACTGTTTGTTTACTTCAGCCATCATGACAGGTGTGTGATATTTGACTGTGATTGTATTTACTTACTTTTGTGGTGCTGGGGACTGAGCCCAGGACCTCCTGTGTGCCGAGCAAATGCTGTCCTGCCAGCCACGCCCCTCACCCTCTCAGTGTGGCTGTCATTCACACCTTGTGTACTTATTTGCCACCATATGTGCTCTTCAGCGACTGCCTCTCATGCATTTGCCCATTTCCTAATGGATTTTTTTGCTGGTTTTTGTTTTTTCACCGTTGAGTTTTGGTATGCGGTTTGTAAATATTTTCTCCCAGTCTGCAGCTTGCCCCGTCATCCCCTTCATGGATGTCTTACACAGAGCAAAGTTTTGTTTTGTTTTTTTACATTTCAGTGAGGCCTAATTTGTCAGTTTTTCCTTTCGTGAATCATACGTTTGGTATCACATGCAAGGAATCTTCACCTAGAAGTCGGACGTGGTGGTGCACACCTGTAATCCCAGCACTCAGGAGGCTGGGGCAGGTGGGTAGTGTGGGCTACATAGTTAATTCAAGGCCAGCCTAGACTGCACGGCGAGACCCTGTCTCAAAAATACAAAACAAAAAACCTCTTCACCTTTGCCTAGCCCTAGGTTCTGAAGATTTCATCCTAATTTCATCCTATTTTTCCCAAATGTCTGATCATCTTTTAATATCCTGCCTTTAAATCTAATCAATTCTGAGTTAATTTTGATAAGAAGGTGTGAAGTTTGGATCGAGTTTAAGTTTCAGGTCTATAGATAGCTCCAGAAGGCTTTTGTTTTGTTTTGGTTTGGTTTGGTTTTTTTTTTTCCAGTACTGGGAATCAAACTCACGACCTTGCGCTTGCCAGGCAGGCGCTGTGCCGCTGAGCTAAATCCCCAGCCCCCTCCAGAAGGCTTTTATAAAGCAAACCACCTCAGAGACCTTAAATAATCACCCAGCATCACACACGGAGTTGAGGAGCCAGACTCAAACCCAGCTCTATGCCTCCCTCCTCTTTTTTTTTTTCCCTCCCTCCTTCTCCCTACTGCCTCAGTGGTGTCTGGCTGCCTCCTCGGATGGAGCACGCTGGTTACCCCTCAAAGCGGTCTCCCCTCTTGGGAGAGGGTCATTCCCTCAGTCCACAGACACTGGCAGAAGGTGCCCTGTGTTGCCCTGTGCTGGGCACTGCTGGGACCCAGGCTTCTACCGCAAGCCTCAGTCATGTGTGACGGGAGGCAGGACGCAGGGGTGAGTTGTTGGTGCTGGAGGATGTGGCCCCCAAGCCCACGTGTTCACCTTGAGAAAAACAAGTCTAGGTTCCCTGGGTTTCAGAAGGAGGGGAGAGCGCTCTGGGGAGAGAGGACAGCAGACACGCAGGGCCTGGAGGCGCCCAAGAGAGCTCAGATACTCTCGCAAGTCTGGTAGGGGCCTAACTGGCGCCAGTGGTCCAGGGCTGCAGGGAGGCGGAACTGCAGGGTGGTTAGAGTCAGAAGCGGACACACCAGAGGAGCCAGTGAGGAATGGTGCTCAGCTAAGTGTGGCCATGGCAATGGGACCAGGCCGTTGGGGCCAGGAGGAGCAGGCCCCAAGCTCCTATGCGGCCCTGGCAGGACAGGGTGCTAACGCAAAGCAAGCCTGCCCTCCCTGGCAGGCTGCCCACCATGCTGGCACTCTGGGGAGCTGTGTTTAAGTGGCCGCGTGCCACCACTGCTGTCATAAAGGTGAGGCTGCTCTTTCTTGCTGTTCAGCACAAACCCTTTGTCCAGCCTTCAGTGCCCAGAGGCGGTGCCCCACGCCAAGAGCCAGGAACAGGCTGAATAAACTCGGGAAGAATCTCCTGACTCGGGCTTTCTTAGCCATTATGTGGCTGTGATGCTTTGCTGGTCCCTCCCAGGAGGGTTGGGCCCGCCAGGTGCCAGAGCCACCCAGTCTAGGCCAGAGTCTATGACAGGGGCCCACATCTGCCTCTGAGTGTGCGGCCCAGGGGCCCAAGGTCCTACCATGGGGTCCCAGGCTCTGCCTTTGTGACTAGCATCTCAGCAATTTTGTGCTTTCTGGTCCTGCAGAGTTCACAGGGGCAGAGGTGGTAGATAGGCAACCAGGTCAAGCAGTGCCTGAACTCCTTCTTGGTTCTTTCTAGGCTCCCTTCTCCCTTTCTTCCTTTCCTTCTGTGCTTTTCCTCCTCCCCTCCCCGCCATTCTCTCATTTATTCATTGAACAGATGTTCAGAGTGTCTCCTCTGGGTCCAGCCCTGGCTGAGTGATACCTAGGACTCAGAGATGATTCAAACACAGTGTCTGCCCTCGGGGAGCTCAGGGCCTGGTGGGGAAGATGGACTAGGTAAACAGACGGCTGTGATTCAGTCCTTGGCTGCAGAAGCCCTAGGAAGGAAGCTGCTGTGCCTGGGGCAGGGGGT